TCAGCCTCTGAGTCACTATAAGAAGAAACAAAATTACAATCATCTGCAGTGGTTCTGTAGATTCCCGAGAGCTTGACAGAAAAGGCTGGTGTTAGTGCTCCACATAATATGAACCTAGAAAGCAGATGTAAGAATAGTATATGGTTCAGACTGTGACTACACTGTGATGAGATGGGAACACACCTTTTGCTTAACAAAAAAGCAAAAACTTTAATCAAAATTACATAATCTGAGTAAAAAATACTGAAGTAACTATGATTTATCACGGGCAGTGTCAACTGCAATGTCATCAGAGAGAAGCAGTAATAACGTCACTTTCAATTTATTGTTATTTTTATTAAAATATTATATATTTTAAAAACATTATTTATAATAATATTATAGCCACTGCACAGAGACCTCCGTCTTCAGAGGTTTTCTGCCGACTCTGCGGTGGTTCGATGCATCAGTGACAGTGATGAGACAGAGTACCAGGCTGTGGTCGACTCCTTTGTCACGTGGTGTGAGCAGAATCATCTGCAGCTCAACATGGCAAAGACCAAAGAATCAACTGTTGACTGAAAACTGACGTCATTGTGACCATTATGACCTTAGCCTCTTAGAAAACAACAGAAAATCATTTGCAAGAAACTTAGGAGTGATCTTTGATAGCAATTTAATCTTTGATAAACAGATGAACAATGTAATCAAAACTAGCTTCTTTCATCTTCGCCTCCTTGCAAAAGTTAAGCCTTTTCTCTGCTTCAGAGATTTTGAGAAAGCGATCCATGCCTTCATCTGATCTCACCTCGACTTCTGTAATAGCCTCTATTCTGGTGTTACCTCGTCATCTACTGGCTGACTGCAGCTAGTCCAAAACACTGCAGCAGGCCTCGTAACTGGCACACGCAAGCAAGATCACCTATCTCCCATACTTGCATCATTACACTGGCTGCCAGTCAGTTTTCAAATTGATTTTAAGATTTTAACACTTGTTTTTAAGACACTGCATGGACTAGCTCCTGCATATCTTTCTGATCTTCTAACCTGGTATACTCCTGCAAGATCTTTGAGGTCTGTGGACCAAATGCTACTAGTTGTCCCAAGGTCCAGATTAAAATTCTGAGGAGACCGGGCATTTGTGGCGGCTGCTCCTAAATTGTGGAGCACTTTGCCTCTGCACATCAGGACCTCCCCAACACTGGAGACTTTCAAAACCCATCTAAAGACCTATTTTTATTGTCTTGCTTATAAGTCAGTATGAGTCTATTACTATTGTTTTTATTATCATTCTATGATTCTATTCCCTTCTAACTTTATCCTATTTTATGTCTTTTGCTTTAACTATTTTTATTGTACCGCAATCTACAGGAAGTGCCAGAGTCGTCTCTGAGGTCTTTCAACATCTGAGTCGGTTTGTTTAGCAATGTAAACATAGTTGTTATTCAGACCTAATTTTCCACCTAAAACTATCCCTGTACTCCAACAATGCAGCCACAATCTTTCAATGAGCACAGTCCAATCAGTACTTTAATTTTCTATTCAGTATGTTTGCCAAAAGAAAAGAGGCTATAAAGAAATACAGCATTATGTATTGGAGGTGCTGTAAGTGATCGGTCCTAGAAAACTAAGATTTCACTGCTTAATTTAAACTAACCAAAAGATTTTTTTAAAATCCAATTTATCATTTCTTCATTTTTACACTTTCAGGTTGTCTTTCTGTTTTCTATCATCGGCAAGTTGTGGTTTTCTGGCTTCAGTTTTCAGCAATCAGCTTTCCAGCCTGAGAGAACTGGATATGAGCCACAATAGTCTGTTGGATTCAGGAGTCAAGCAGCTCTGTGTTGGTCTACAGAGTCGATTCTGTGAACTGGAAACTCTCAGGTCAGAGTTCTAACTGTAATATTGCATGGTAATTTTTTCTATAATCCCCACTTTCTTTTTGTGCGGCTTAATCAGTAATGAACATACTTCCCCCCCCAGCCTGAGGATCTGTGGGCTGACAGAGAAAAGCTGTGAATTTCTGGGTTCACTTCTCAGCTCCAAGGCCTGTCATCTGAAAGTGGTTAATTTAAGTGCCAATAAATTGCTGGATTCAGGAGTGATGAGGCTTTCAGCTGGACTACAAAGTCCTGATTGTCAAATAAAATCTCTCAGGTAAGGAATCCTTAAATCAGACAAATTAGCTGTGTTCTATACACTGGCATACTTATCTTAAACGTTGAGTTGCTTAGGTCTTCACAACCTGATTAGCAGACAGCTAGCTGTCATTTCTTGATGACATTTACAAAAATGGATTTCACAGCAGTGGGGAATACATTTCATTACAGTCGACGTCTTTCTGAAAACGCTATAAGTATTGTTATTGTCAATGTCATGTGCAAACAGTGCAGAGTAGCTACATAAATTCTACTCAGACCGAAGTTGATTATCTTGTTAATAGTTTTACATCCTTGCTGCATATATTTATTACTTCTAGACTGAACTAATGTAATTCATTATTATCAGGATTTCCTAAAAACTCCCTGAAAAAGTCTTCAGCTGATCCAAAATGCTGCTTTCAGACTCCTGGCTTACACGGTTCCTACGGTATTTAAAAGTAGGAGGAGCCTTCAGCTGTGACACGCAACAGTTACAAAGGCTAATTTAGATCATAGAGCTCTGCTCCAAAAACTGACACAAATGTAACACTGTCTGTGAAGCTGGATTTAAGAAATAATTGCTTTAAGTTTTTAGAACAAGTTTGGCAGGTTGGTTGGTTTCAGCTTACATTAGTTTATGTTAGCTAATTAGTAACAGAACCAATAACTCAGAGAAAAATAAGGACACTAAAACAAAATCAAAGGGTACACTTTTCTGCTGTCCCTGGCTGCAACAATGAGCTTTGTGTTAAGAAACCAAGGATATACTGTCCACTTTCACTGAAGAAGACGTCAAAACTGCATATAGAACTACTGTCTATAAACAGCATGTCTCTGAGCTTGCTTGCTCATAAGGGTCCATCTGACATACAATTTATTCTCTGCCTACTGTCTTTTGCTTTTGTAGTCTGTCAGGCTGCTGGATACGTGAGAAAGGATGTGCTTCTCTGGCTTCAGCCCTCACATCCAACCCCTTCAGCCTGAAGGAGCTGGACCTGAGCTACAATCATCCTGGTGACTTGGGAGCAAAACTGCTTTCTGCTAAACTGAAGGATCCCCAATGCAGCCTTGAGACTCTCAGGTATAAAGAGCATTTTTGTCTTGTACAGATGTCTAAGCATCATGTTTGTGAACTAACCCATTATAATATAATGGGTGTATCAGTATAATCTTATTATTATACACCCATTATATTATATATCACCCATTAATCAGATCAAAGTTGATACTGATCATCTTCAGTGCAGAATTCAAGGTTGTGACATTCATGTGATTCTTACATGACTGAAAACAAGAACACTGTATTTTTTCAAATACAAAATATTTGTCGATGTGTCTCATTATACTTTATTATGCATTTTCTCAGATTATGTTTACTTCATCCATCCATGATCAGCTTCATGAGTAGTTGTGGGTATTTTTGAAAACAGAGATTTTCCGTTTCCGTTTTAAAAAATAATCCCGTCCACAC